TGTCAAACCCAGCCCCAAGAGCTGTGATGGGAATGTCAAACCCAGCCCCAAAAGCTGTGATTGGAATGTCAAACCCAGCCCCAAGAGCTGTGATGGGAATGTCAAACCCAGCCCCAAAAGCTGTGATGGGAATGTCAAACCCAGCCCCAACAGCTGTGATGGGAATGTCAAACCCAGCCCCAAAAGCTGTGATGGGAATGTCAAACCCAGCCCCAAGAGCTGTGATGGGAATGTCAAACCCAAAAGCTGTGATGGGAGTGTCAAACTCATCCCCCAGGAATTCCAGCACTCCCAGCCCTCTCTCCTTCCCCGGGGATGCTTTGACCATGTGTTTCACAACGCTGGCTGCACTCACCCGTCTTCTTCAGCTTCTCCTTCGGTTTGTCCTCACCTTCRCTGTGGCACAGAAATCAGGGTCAGCTCCAAAAATCCCATTTGAAAGACCCCCTGCTCCCACCCCACTGTCCCCACAGCCAGGAGGGTGACCCAGCAAAGGTGATGTCCCTCCCATCAGCCCCAGGACAGAGATGAAGCAGAAGATCATGACCTTGAAACCACACAACTCCCTGGCCAAGGGCAGCAGCACTCCCAGGCCATGGGGTGACAGTGACTGAAGCTGGACACCACCTCCCATGGCCATGGTAGCCCCTGGCTCACGGTGGCCCTATCCCCACGGGGTTCAGTCCCAGTTCACCCAGCCCACTGTGCCCACCCAGGAGTGGCACCCACTCGCTCTTTTTGGTGGCAGGACCCTTCAGTTTGGTCTCCAGGCCCCCAAAGAAGCCCTTGACGTTCTCTGTCTTGGCCGAGGTGTTTTTCAGCAGCCGCTCTGCGATGTCCTTCTTCTCCGCCAGCCAGGTGTTGGCTGATTTCAGGTACGAGTCGATGCTGCCCGTGGGCTTYTCCTTGGCCTCCAAGGGCAGGGCGTGAGGCTTTCCTGGGAAAAACGTGCCAGGAGCTCAGCAGATCCCGTGGTCCTGAGTGCTGACAGCTCCTGGACCYGCTCCCACCCATGTGATGCATCACTGAGATATCCAAACACCCAAGATCCCATCCCAACTCCTGCAGGGTTTTATTTTTATTTTTATTTTTATCCTCCCCACTCCGGTTTTGGGTAGAAAATCCAGCTCCTCGGGGAGGACTGGCCACCACACACCAAACAATAAACCAAGGTGTTTCTGGTCACATCCCGCCCCAGGGTCCGGGATCACCTGGGAATTGTCACGGGTGGATATTCCCGRCTGGAAGCGATGACAAAGCAGTGTCACCACCCCAGTGAGGGGCTGTACCAGGCTTGAACAGATTCTTTTTCACTCAGGATAAGGCTGGGACCCTCCATCACCCTTCCCATGCACAGGACACCCTTCAAACCTGTCCCCAGCACCAGCAAAGCCACCCAAGGGTGCAGCTCCCCTTACCTATGTAGTAATAGGTGAAACACATGGTCATGAGGTTCTTGGCAGGGCTGAAATCGTCCATCTGGTGACACCTGGCATTGAGGGAGTGCTGGGTGAGAACAGCCCATGACAGGAACCCAAACAGCCTCAGGGGCTTCTGGGGGTGCCACAAAGCCCCAGAGGACCCTCAGGACTTACTCAAAGAGCACGAGGGCGAAGGACTGCATCAGGCGATAGAAGGTTTGCTCTGAGACACATTTGGAGTTGCAGCGCTGTGGGGATAAAGCCCGGGGGTCAGAGCAGCACAGAACCACCCTGAGCATCCCCAGACACCCCACCATGGGCAGGGAGGAAAGGAGCACTCGTGGCTCCCCCTCAGAGACAGCATTCTGCCTGTCTGGGCTGGTTTTTTAGGGAATAGGATGTGTCTGAGTGCTGGTGGGATTTAATTTTAGATAGAACAAGTGGATTCTCTCCCACGTTGCACCGAGGTTGTGTTTAACTGCCTCAAAATGCGTTTATTCGCTGTTGTACCTCCCTCTACTGAGGTTATTCCCTTTTCTTGAGTCCTTGCCTTCCAGAAATACTTCTCTGGGATATAGATAAACCCCGCTGGGCTGAGGCTGTCCCAAATCCCATGCAGAATCTCTGCACCCTCCCCACCTCTTACCTGGGCGCTCACATATCTGGCGAACCACTCCCTGCCCTTCCCGTTCTCGCTGCTGCAGAGCTCCCCAAACCTGGCCTTCTCCTCTTGGTCCAAATCCTCTCTGAAACGGGGAAAAATTAAAAAAAATACATCATTAAAGCCAAGGATGCGACCGGTATCCCTCCCAAGCCATGCCTCTCGGCATCAGCACCCCGCGGAGGAAGGCAGAGGAAGAGGAGGAAAGGAGCATCCATTTTTTCCTCCCTCATCTTGTGCTGCTCTTTTCTCCCTCCCTGGCAGGAGAGAGAAGGGAAGAGCCAAGGATGGCGCCAGCAGAGCTGAGCTCCCGAGACAGGCGCCGAGCCCCGCAGCGAAAACAAGCCCTGTTGCTGCTCCT